TACTAAAATAATACTAATTTTCTTCTTTAGCCTCTTGTATTATGAAAGGAACTTGACCTCCTTTTTCCCTAACAGGATCTTTATATGACATATATAGGAGCGATTAGAAGCATATACTAGGTATCTTAGAGTTGGGAGTACAGTCAGTGGTCAGAACTTCCTTTGTGGTGTGAAGCTTTCTTCATCAACAGCCTTGTGAACAAAAAAAGTTGCCTGTTATCCAAAAAGTACCGATCCTGAAGAACAGCAAGTGTAGCAGTCTAAGCATCATGAGATTAAAGAAGCGTTTGCATCTCTGGGTATTCAGGTTAGGCAATATTAAGTTCCTGAAATCATAGTGACTGAAATTTAGTCTAATTTTTCTTTGCTATTGTACAGTAAAACTCACTGATAGTTTGTCTTCAGATAGAAAAGGTGGTAAAGATTCTGTATGATCTAAGAAAGACTTGAATGACTAAACACATTGCATACCTTTTTTAATCAAGAAATTTGATAGTAATCAAATAAATCTGACATGAATATTGGGGCATATACCTTTACCACCAATTAAAAAAAGAAATAAAAAGGAGATTGTATCTTTTTCAGTAGAGCTGTTCTACTTCTGTTGGCATTTCTGGATGTTTGCTATGGATTTATATGATTCTAAGCAGCAGATTTTCCGGTGTGGTATAAAAAATGAGCTTCAAACTGGAATTTTGGGATATAAAGAGGTGGGTTTGGGGGGCAGTGTTGGTGGTTTTGGTTTGGGTTGTTTTTCTTTTTTTTTTTTTTTTTTTTTTAATTCTTTGGCTAGAATAACGACACATCTCCAGACTTTAAGGATTAAGGTGGTAAACAGTTGAGCTCTTTTTTCATTGTGACCCCTTCAGCTGGCACAGAACTTATTTTTGGATAAGGTTTTACAAGAGCCCAGATAATTTAAAACTGCTTGTCTTGGGAATACCGTCAAGTGACGGTGGTAGAAGACTAGCTGATAGGAGACTCTGTTGAAATCTAGGGCTATCATAGTCCTCCTTATCATCATGGCTTCAATCCTGTAAAATATCAAAGCGGCCCAGAAGGAAAGGGAATATTTTTTTTTTTTTTTTTTAGCTTAAACAAAACAGAAGAAGTTATAAATAGTCATTTAGAAATACATTGGTATAAGAGAAAACCTTAATGTTAGGCTCAACTAGAACTGCCTTTTCAGATGCTTTTAGAATATTCTGGGAAGAAGTATTAATTTTGCAGAAAAATGCCTTCTACTATACCTATCATTATAGGCTGATGCCTTGTTCCAAGCAGCAAAATGGAGTGACTTTTCTCATTTATTTATTTATTCACCCCTCCCGTCCCCCGCCCTTTTTCTCTTGGGTGATCTTTCCTGTTTTGTTTTGTGGCTGGTAAAGAATTCTGAGCACTTCTAACTAAGCATCTGGTGCTGACAGTAACTTTTTCTTTGACTAAGAACTGGTTTAGTTTATGTGTGTTTTATTTATTGTGAAAGAAACCTTTTCCCAACAGGTCACAGACAATCCCAACTGCAAGATGCATCAAACACTCAAAAAGAAATGTTCTACTTGTCTTCTACTTGGAATACGTATTTTATAAGGATGTAATGTATCTCAACTCAAGTTTCATCTGCTGTGTTTGCTCAAGGAACTTAGCTAAAAGCTGAATGCAAACTCTTCTTTTTCCTCAGCAGATATGGTTTCTTTTATATTTGATTCCATCTACCAGATTCCAGCTATAGGTCTCAGCACAGCTCCTTCGAATAGAGCAGCATGGTTTTAAGCAGTACATTCAAGCATATTCCTTTGTCCCTGAAACTTGTCAAGTTGATGATTCTTTGATATTTTAGTAGGGAAACCATTGTGGGAGATCTTGTGGTATAGCATTAATCATCTTATGAAGACTAATTCATATCACTGCTCTGAGCATCAGAGCATTAATTCTTGCTTCCATGGCTTTCCTATGTAAAATATTGACTATTTAGATGAAGATATGCAAACCAGTGTAATATTTTTCCATGAATAAAGAGAGAGATAGTACATCTATTCATCATGAGATGGAGTCAGCTTCTGAAACTAATTTTCAGCACCAGATATTACTGTTCTGTCAGTTCCCTGTGAAGACAGGACAACAAATAATCTTTAAAAGGCCTCGTTACAAGTCATTCCTTTTCAGTATGACGTTCGTGTGGACCACGTTAAGTAAAGGATCAGCAAATGTAAAATATTACATATTAGGATAGAGGCCAAGCTTCTGGTTCAGGAAAAGAAAAAAAAAAAAAGGACGGTGAATACTGTCACTTTCCATCACTTCTAGACCAATAAAATTAAAAGCATCTCTAGTGGAGTATAATAATCTAGGAAAAATACTTAGTATTGCTTTTAGGGACATTAACCATTAAATCAGGCTTTTATTTTAATGTTAAAGAATATTATACTTTCCCTAAGTATTTCCAAATGGCCCATTGTGCTAAAAGAAAAGATTGTAGGGTATTTGCAGGATCAGAAATTTTTGTGTCTGTTGAAAAGCTAACAACAATGTTATTTTGATGGTATTTGAAAAATGTGCCTCAGACTGTGACCTGTGATACTTTGAAAGAAACTTCCATTAAGTATTAATGGATGTTGCAGAGATATTTTGGAATTTGCAAAGGGGTTTTTTGTGTTGCTTTTTTTTGTATGCTTCCTAGAATTGGCCTTATGTGATGTAAGCCTTAGAAATGACTTGAAAGTGGATAATAATACTCTCATAGCTGTTAAATTCATCCACAGCCATAAAAACACCCTAACAATGGGCACTCCTGTTTTGCTGTTCTTACCTATTAAAAAAAGGCGTCTTTGAAAAAAATATATTCTCTTGTTTCTGTTGCACTGGAGCTCCAGTCTTTCTTATTCTCAAACTGATTTTACTCCCAGTGAGGATGATGTCCCTGCTAAGCCCTACCTAGATGTAACTCAAAAAGAAACAGTCCAGACCATTAAATCAAAACATTTTTAATCTCTGGTCCTGTTGTCCAGCATACTACATTCACTTTCATGCTGGCATCATCGGCAGATTTAATAAACATCATGTCTTTTCCATCATCAGTCTTTCAATGAAATGCAAAGTAGTGTTCTACCAGAAGAAAACCCAGTCAGTTCATTCTTCCTGGATGAAGCAAGATGAGCACCAGTCTTTTCTGAAACTCACTTTCCAGTCAGCTCTGCACACATCTGATAGTAGTTGTATCTAAATTACGTTTATATAGATTGTTCTGCATGGTGCTCTCACAAGACATTGCAAAACCCTTTCTAAAGTGAAGTCAGGCCATCTGTTGCTTCCCTTTTATTTGTGAGGACAGTTATCTAATTTCTGTAATGATACTGGAAAAATGTAGTGTATTCTTGTTGAATCAATGTAGGCTGTTAATTGTATCTGTGTTAGATTCTAGGTGCACACAAGTGGTTTGCTTATGTGTTCTGGTATTTTTCTGGAAACTTCCTTTAAGTTAATTGATCTGTAGTTCTGTGGCTGCTTCTTTTTGATAAAGCTACGTGTGGGCACAAATTTGATTAAATAGTAAATGTAGCTCACTGAATAAAAACAATCTGAAGCTAGTGCACATGGTTTTCTTAACTTGCAAGTGTAAAGAGAAAAGAGACTGTAGGGCCAGTATCTGAGAGAAATGGCGCTCTCAAGAATTTTGAGTATGTTGGTGAGAATTGACATTCCCTTGTTTGCCCGGATGACTCTTCTGCAGTAAGACAGACAGAGCTGCAGGAGTTACCGTGTCGTATCTGATAACGTAGGATTAGAATTTTTGTACTTTCTGGCTTACCCATCTTTTTGCCTTTGGCTGTGTGTATGGCCCAGTAAGCATGTCTTGTCTTTCATTATATTGTCAGTGGTTTGTATTAGAGCTCTACCAGTGACCTGATATATGAGCTTAGGCAAGTTATTTTGTCTACCTTCTTTTCGCTGTTTTTGTCTAGAGTTGGCTTTAAGTGGCTTGCAGCAAGCGTAGCTCTTGTGCTGGGGCTAAAAACAATTCTCAGTTATGTTAGGCTAGCAAGAAGACTTCTGAGTTATCAGGATCCCTAGATGTGGAAAGCAATGAGCTGCTAAGGAATTCCAGTATTTCTTTGCTACTGAAACCTGTCATACGCCCACCAGCCCACAGTGGTGAGAGCTCCAGGGACCATTCCTGCCAGTGAAACAATTTGTGTTGCTGTTTCTCCTTTTGCAGATGAGATATTTGGTTCTTTGTTATGCAAAGATTTCAGTACACGACTTAAAAGGTGTGAAAAAGTTGATCATCTCTGGCCTAGACACTAAACAGTTTTTCAGTGACTTTTGTCTTCATAAAATGCTCGCTCATCACTGTGAGACCCAACTGCCATTGCGGTGTTCCAGATAAACAGGGGATAGGAAATGGTCACAGGTCATGAACTTTACATGCTCGGTTGTCATAGCATCAAATACCTGATTTTCTGAAACTTTCTCACCTGGAAGCTTACTGTGAGACTTTTCCACAAGGGAAAAATTAAAGGTTAAAATAGGTAAAAATGACTGAATGTTGATGTATTAAAACTAAGATTCATCCCAGGTACCTGGATGGTGGGGATAGGGAGCATGTAACATGTTACTGTGACATAGGTAGAGAGCTGTGACCTGCAAAATTGTATACAAAGTAAAGAATTTGATGGTTTTGAGTGACTAACTGGTATTATTCTAATAACTCTCTCAAACCACAGCATTTTATGTGTGTATTTTCTGTGTTAAAATGCTAAAGAAGATTGTTGGCACAGATCCTAAAGTTTCCTCTTGCTATTGTGAGAACTGCTGATCAAAAGAGAATGGGCCTCCTGCATCTTTCCCACCTTTTCTTCTTTCGCAGAATCGTAAGGATGAGTATTTCTAGTATTCACAACATCTTTACCATGTCAGTCATCTTTACCCTGTAGAATAATGTTAGCGTCTGCTACCATCTGTAACTGCTTAGCACATTCTTCTCTTATCTTCATTTTTAGCTGTACATCCTTGACCCCTGGACCTAGCTGTGATCGGTTTAAGCTACATATCCCTTATGCTGGAGAAACACTCAAATGTAAGTTAAAAACTATTGCTATTGCATCTTGGCCTTTCTTTTAGTAACAGTGTTCTGTATCATGTTAAGTTTTCCAGTGTGTCTAACTAATTTTAGGAGTTTTGAGATACCTGTGTTTGTTGGGTTTTTTTGTTTGTTTTTTTTTTTTTAAAGCTTCAGCTCTAAGAACACACAACTGTAAGAGTGTCTAATTTCTAAGATAAGTTTACAGCCTTCCTTAATATCACAAATTTGAAAACATGAGTCCTAAAAGCCAAAAGTCACAAATTCCTCCCCCCCCCCAAAGTTTCTAATAAAATGTTATGACGAAGACAATCTCATGACCATTTTTAGACTCACTTATGGTTTGTATATGCTTTGTCTTGTTTCTTTCTTTCTCTTTTAGGAAGAATTCTTTATTAAGCTCCAATAAAAGAAGTCTGTCTGTTATTTTATTAGGCATCTTTAAACAGTAACTGGTATAATTCAGATTAGAGAAACGTGACTTCGGTTTTTCTGATTTAGTTTTGTGGTTAAATCCTCCTTATTCCTGGAAGATCTGTAGATAGCTGGCTCATTTGCCCACTCTTCAATTAGTCTGTGTTTTGGTTCAAAGGATTAGGATAACATTTGTATGTTTATAGAAGGTAGAAAATAGTTTTCTAAACACTTGAATTGCTGATAATCTGCATATGAAAAATGGTAAAGTTGTGTTGGTTTTGATCTCTTAACAACTGAAATATGAGAGAGGATGAAGAATTACAGAAAAAGTAATATTTAAAGCTTGGCCATTTTAGATTTAGGGCAGCACTGGTGAAACCACATCTGGAGTACTGTGTCCAGTTCTGGTCTCCCTAGTACCAGAAAGGCATGGACGTATTGGAATTAATACAGCAAAAGACCACAAAGATGATTGAGGGACTGGAGCATCTGTTGTACAAGGAGAGGCCAAGAGAGCTGGGGCTTCTCGAGAAGAGAAGGCTCAGAGCAAATGTTATCAATGTGTATAAATACCTGATGGGGGGAATGAAGAAGATAGAGCCAAGCTTTTCTCAGTGGTGGTCACTGAAGGGAAATGGTCACAAATTGAAATACAGAAAATTTCATTTAAATGTAATAGAAGAACTTTGCAAGGATGGTCAAACAGTGGAACAGATTGCACTCACGGCTTGTGGAGCTTGTATATCTCCGTCCTTGGAGGTACTCAAAACCCAACTGGACATGACCCTTAGCAATCTGTTCTTGTTGACCCTGCTCTGAGCTGCAGGATTGGACTAAGCGGTCTCCAGAGGTGCTGTCCAGCCTCAGCTATCCTGTGAGTCTGTGAAAATACGCTACCTGGAGGAGGAAGTACTTAGTATGAACAGAAATGTTAAATATTTAAAACACTGCTTTGATAGTATCTATTTAGACTGCATCGTACACATGCTATAGCTCTCCGAGACATTTTAAATATTAAGAATGTTGTTGTATTCCTTCTGTAGTAGTTTTTCTTGTCATTATGTAGTGCACTGGAAGCCCTTCTCCTTTGTGAACAGAAATCAACACAATTAAACTTATCTTTAGAAGTACTTTAAAGCTTCCATTTGATACCTATAAGGAAAGCTGTCATTCCTGTTGGTTCTTGGAAGTTGGTCTGGAAGTTTGCTTGTGTGTTGGAGAGAGGAGCTAGGCTCATGTATCAGTCTACTATGACTAGTTTATCTATTCCAAAAGTTTGAAATCATGGCTCAAGAGGCTTACCAATCATTCTTTTCCAAAAGATAAAAATGGAATATTAAGTCCTAGCTAGCAATTATTTTAAGGAAAAAAAAAAAAAAGAAAAAATATGTGGTTTATGCATTTATTCAGAATTTTAAATAAGTAATGGCCATATTATATGAAGCCAGCTATGCTACCAGGTAGATTTTTTTTCCCCCCCCTTATTTAAATGTGTGGATTTTTAAAAAAAAAAACTTTTTTTTAAAATAATGTGATATTGGGTAGCAGACTCAACCTGTGGAGTCTTGATGTGTCCTGCAATGTGTAGTAGATTCTACTTGAGACTTGATGACTATGATCAAGATGCAGTGAAAAGAAGCTTCATTGGATGACACTGCTCTAGAGAATGGTATCATATTTTCTATGGGACTGTAGTAACTCTCTCATTTATTACCATACAGGGCCCTATTATTACATTCTGAGAGCTTTAAGTCTTTACTTGTTTTTAAGTAGAGGCTAGAACTGTTCCTGATTCATAAGGGAAAATTAGTAGATTAAAATGCCCATGTGTGAGGACATAGGCATACAGACTACACTAATATTCTACATGACTGTAGTCCAGTTAAAGTACCTAGAAATATGATTATGGACTATGCATTAAACTTATTGAGATATTGAGAAATCAGCTTTTTCTCTTCCCCCCCCCCTTATATTTTGAATATCACATAAGCAATTAAACAAAACTACTATAATGCTAGTGTTCTTCTCCACCTTCGCAAAAAACAAAACACGCAATTTAACGATGCTGTATATTTTAACATGACCATCTGAAAGTGGTGTAAACAAGTGTATCTTTTCCAGAGGTCCCTAATAATAGCAGTGAATTCAAGTAATAATAATCCTCCACATGTCAGCATTACACGTTTGAAAATGCTGTGCATCGTTCAGTCTCACAGCATGTGGAGTAAATAGTGATGCAAGCAGATCCAAGAAAGCTTTAATAATTCTGTGTTCAGATCTATGATGATGGCAGGGGAAGACAGCCATGGTGTGCAACCAGAGATTTGTAGATACTTTGTTGTAGGCTGTTGCTAGATACGTTATCTTTCAAGGGCAGAATATTTCTGCAGAGGAAAGTTGCGAAATCTGCCAGAATAAAAAGACTGGCTGAAAATGTTCAGGGTCTCCAGCGTATGGTCTTCATTACATGGTGCCCAATACAGGCTGAAGTGTGTAGTTCCTTTGTGGTTTGTGTTACATCCTCTTTGCAACAGATCAGATCTTTGCATATCATCAATCATAACCGCTGCCACTGTACAAATACCCTAGTATGAATCCTACTGTGTTGAAACTGTTGGTATGCTACTTTAGAGAAGTATAACTGCATAGTCACAGTCCTGTTTTCCAAAAGACCAGGAAGTTCACTGTTTTTTGAAAAAGGGGAAAGTGTACTTGCAGGCAAGGCAGTCACTGACTATCTGTAGTATAAAATAATTGTTTTGTTAGCTCCGGTAAGATCAAACATCCTGTGAGTTAAGAATGGCTTATTGGTAATTTTAATACATTTTTTTGAGATCCAATTAGGTAGTTAATTGTTTTTTTCCAGATGTCGCATTCACCTTACTCTTGCATGTATTCTGAACTGCTGGAATGTTATACTGAACAGTTAATTAGCTGCAGCCAGGAACCTTGGAGATATCCACAATTTTATACTGGAGAAAATTTTGTGTTGGTGTTGGAGATAAATTAGTTTGTCATACTAATACTCTTCCATCACACATCAGAAATTTTTAAATGGTGCTTTCAGAGAGACACTTTTACTTTATTTTCGTCTGTAAGGGAAACGATAAATTTTGTGTTTTCATGGCCAGAATGGCTGGAAAACTTGAGCCTACTCTTGCTAGACTGTCAATTAAAATCTGAGACAGCTGTATTGTTTTTGTTAGTTCATCCAGCACTCACTGCTGCTACATTAAACTCAGTGCTTTTCTTTATATTTGAATTTTTCAAAGCTCTTAATAGGAGTTTTAACTCCAAGAAGACTCTCTGTAATATCCTGTAAGAGGTTGAATGTGTGTTCCAAGGACAAAACTTACTCTGAGTGGTATGCAGAGCTGTCCTTTATTGCTAACTAGGCAGCCGTATCTGCTGAGTAAAGTTTGTTATGCTTTCTGGGAGAAGGATTTGTGTGTTTTGAGGTGAAGTGTTTTGTAACTCTTGCAGGCATATTGGGCTACCTTGCTAAAACATCAAGGCAGATGTCATAGTAGAAATTTTCAGGATAAGCAGAGTTATAAGCTGTAATAGTCTTTATTGAATAATATCAATAATTAAAATACAGCATTAAGAATCAATTCCTTGGTCATTGCAATTTTGTTTCCTCAAACCCTGGAATCTCTTGCTTTTGGTTTTCCATTTTCACTCAAGCTTTCTCTGCTGCTTGCTACTAGGAGAGCTTGACTCTTTGCCTGTGCTCTTCACATTTTCTTTTTCAGGCACTGATGCCTCCCTCCCTCTCTGTCCTTGAGTGCTGTCATCTGGAATTTCACGGTGATTAAACAATGTGTTGCCCTTGTGATGCTACTGTTCTCTGTGGCCTCTTGAACTCTAGTATTTTCATCTTCTGTCTGATTTTCACTGTTTTTGTGTGAGTGGATTACAGCTCTGGGTTCTACTGCCGCCACTTTGGTTTCCTTGATCCTAAAGAATGTTTCTTTTGTCTTGTTTGAAGCTTAGTTTTTATTTCTTTTGCTTCCGAGTTCTGTTTCTTAGTTTCTTACTCATTTTAGTTATAGGCCTTAGAGGAGGAAATCACAGTTTTGCTGCCTCATTAGTCTAAGAATATTGCCCATAATATACTGTAGAGAATTTCATCTGCTTTTCTTCCTGTGATGGAACTCTTTCAATAAGTTCATCTGGTCTTCCTGTGGCTTTCTGCTTCAAGGAAGTAATCAGAAACAAACAAAATGATAAATATGGAGAACAGCCTGACCTCCTTGCTGCGCTGATTTGCAAATTTGTTTGCTAAACACTTGTTTATTGTGCCAATAAACAATTGTAAAAATTATTTTACAAGTTATTGTAAGATTTAAGATTCTCATAACTAGATTGCTGCAATGCACGTGTCGGTCTTCTGTGCACCATTAGGTTATTGCGCACAGGTTGTGGTTTAGTTGAGGTTCTTAAGGGAAGGACTTTTTGGTTGCTGTAATTCAGATTATACTTGGGTGATATCATTACCTGTATGGTAAGAAGTGTCTTTTTGCTAGGTCATGCAAAATACCAAAGATTTTACCGGGCAGTATGTTTTCTGAAGTTTT